TAATTAGATTGCATTCAAAATGCATTTCTTATAAATACATATAATGGAACTTTATAATTACTATTACCCTAAAAATGTCAAAATGAAATCAAAGAAACATACCATATGTATGCAATACCATTAATAATAAAGGTAGATTTTAACGATATCTTTTTCGCTGAGTTAATACAACATATTTATTATAATGATTCAACTAACAAAGCACAATTGGAAAAGTCCAACATAAAAAAGTGCTAATCCGATAGGAAGCTTATTGAAGAAACCCGACATTGTTCGCACGTTGCTACGAGGTCGTCAGTTCAGAATAGGTTAAGGCTGGGTTAAACCTGCACGCGCGCGTCTCTCGGTGAGGCAGTCGTCGTGGTCGGCGGTGGTGCAATACCGCGCCGCGTCGCGGTAGAAACCGCCAGCCGCTGCCTCCACGTGTACTCGCCGCATTTTTTTATAGCGATCACCGACCTCGTGCAACTCGCCGCGCAGTAAGGACGTTGAGTTACATCACAGACCACGGGTACATATCGCCTCTCCTAAGCGAATCTGTTGCGATCTTTCTTTCACTTTTTTCCGCAGAGACTCTCTTTATTCCCTCTTTTTTCTTAATTTCATGATGCCCCCATGACATAAAAATGTGATCGGTCGCGAAAAACGACGCTGCCAGCGCAGTTGAAGTTCGCGGCCAAGGAGAAAACTATCGATTTCAGTGTCAGTAATTTCTTTTTTTTTTTCCCCGTTTTTTTACATTTTTACCAAAAACTTTTCTTTTTTGAGGAAAATATTTTTTTCAAATATTTAATTTTTAATTTGAATTTATTTACAAAAATTTGATCATTTTGGAGAAATTAAAGCAAATAAAATGTTTGAGTAAAACCTTGAAAGTTATTGTTTTTATTTTTACAATATTTTTGAATTTTCAACATATATAGTACTTTAACCACCTGAAGAGAAAGAATGGAAAGTACAAAGCTGTTTGCGTATTATTTGCAACAGTAGTACCTTAAAATCAACTTCAACAAACTCTCATAAAAAAAAATACTTAAGAGTTCACTGGTTATGGCACACTGAATGACGCAGAAATGTCAAAATCACCCACCTGTGAGGCTCTTGTTAAGCCCTTCTTCCACAGCCAAGAAATTCCACGTTTCGGCTTATCATTTTTTTAAGAACAACGAAATAACAAAAAATTAAACTGGCGAACAGAAATAAACACACGCGTATTCTTTAACGCATGTTGCATTTGTTTGTCACTTCTCACAACTGAATGTCGACGAAAAACTCAAACTCGGAAACCAAAGGACCCGCCTCAGGACACGGCCAATCGTACTGTGTAATGTTTACCGCCTGTGCCACGCCGAATAGCGACGGAAATCATCGATCATGGCCGAAGTGCCACACTCGACCCTGCCCCACCACTTCGGCTGCTCCTACCATCGCGACAACGACGGCGACCTACAATTTAGGGCGACTAAATGCTTTTCGCAGCACGTGGAGGCAGTCGTCGTGGTTTCAGCCGACCCCGCGGTACAAGTACAACAGAGATCTCCGACAGACAGAGATGTAGATATCACCGGTCTATAGGGACGTGTTCACATTCTACACACGCGCGTACGTGACGCTACGGCACGATACGATAAGCTTGGTTAATCATGAATTCGTTATCAGTGGTCGAATAATCAAAATATGAATTTGATTCCGGATGAATTTTATTTTTCCTTTTAATTTTTTCTGTCAAATTGCACTAGATCCACAATAATTTTTAATTATCAAAAAGTTATTTCTTTTGATGTTTGGATGAAATATTGATTAAATGAAAAATTATGCCTGTATAATTACATACATATGTACATATATAGTATTCAAATAGAAATTATAAAAATTATGCAATAGCGTGTAAATAAATCGTATTAAAACATAATTCCGCATTTTTCATTATATTTTATTGATGATAAAGTTTATTTATAGCTTTAGTAATGAATTTGAAATTGAAGCGTTATAAAATATTAATACATTTTTATGAACACTATATCGAGGGAAATAATATTTAATTTTCATTTTTTATCGATACATTTTCTTAGAAACATTTCAAAAAGATATATTGGATAAAGGCAAGAAATAATAATTGTTTAGTATATAGACATTGTTATAGACGTAAGAATATTAGCATACCAGAAAGGAGTGTTTATCAATGACAAGGAAAAGGCAATATGCATGATATTGTATATACATATGTAGGATAACGGCCAGCATCAGAAACTGTGAGGGATTAAATCCGGTCGATACAGATGCGTTGGTAAATTCGTGATCGACGCATGTATATAAGTACTTTCTCTTTCTTCCTCCCAAGTTCTCTCACTGCTTGAAGAGTCCCCTCCTTGTCCATCGTTACTTTTATTTCCTTATTATGTATTACATGTTCCATTGCTTCCAAAATATCTACATATATGTATGATATTTTTAAAATTATGTTTTGATTTTTCTTAGTCAAAAATCTACGACAATAATATACAATTTTTTAGTAAAATTTTATCTATATTTTAATTCAATAAAATTATTGCTATAAGAAAGGGATATATCAAATAGTAATATTGCAAGAACATTTGGAAAAAAAAAAATTGTCGAATCTATGTATGTGTTAACTTTTAATTCAATGCGAACAGCCAAATTTCGTTCGATTTCGATGTGATCATGCCTGGGACAAGTGTCGAGAGCCGTAACGATATTACTTTCGAACAGAGGAGAGCAATGACCTACTGCGCGCGGTGCACGTGTGCCGGGTGGAAACCGCTACGGCTACCTCCGGATAGGGCATTGGACGCCGCGTGCGGCAGCAAGAACGATGGCTACGGTGATACTCTGCTTTTTATGTAGTGGTGCACCTGAGACTGTGCTTGTGACATAGCATATAAGCGATATCAGTGACGGTAGCAACGACACCGGCTACTGCCGCATGTAACAACATTAAAACTTTATGGAATATCTTTGAATATTTTCATGTGTTTTTACATGAATTCATAAAAGTGATGAATAATTTCTACATGCAATCAAATGTCAAGAAAATATATGTATGTCTTTTAATTTTTTATTTAGCTCGAGAAATACAGGTAATTTTTTAAATAAAATAAAAAACGGTACACATCATCATAATCTTTTAGAAATATTAATATTAGCACATCATTTATTAATTTTTTTAAATATTTTGTTAATTTTAATATAGTAAATTAATTTCAATACAATAGTGTTACGTACTTAATTAGTATGGATTCGTATGTGTATACATACATATCAGATTTTATTTAAATTTTAAACCTTTCCGTAACCAATGGTGCGATAGCTGCGCTTCATCGATACGCGTTCGTTGATAATGTAGTACGGTGTATCCTAAATTCGATTTTGTCACAGTATATTATTATATATTCTGAATTTCAATGTTAGAACGCCATATTTATTACCTCTGTGTTTGATATACTCAGAAAGAATTTCTTTGTTATTAATACTTGTTAGTAATAATTGTTATTAATACTGCAAAAAGTCTTATTGAGTCACGTTTCAATTATGTCAATTTTGCACAAATTTAAAATAAAAATTTGATAGAATGCAAATGTTATTGGGCATTAACATTTGTATTGCATAAATAACAATCGACACGCTAAGATATTATGTAATACGTTAATGAACAGTAGCTTTAAAATGTAGTCAAAGGATAAAATACGTCAACGTTGTAACACGCACATACAGATAAGATTGCCGTTTAAAGTTTCAGTAGCAACATGAAACTATGCTACTTTTAAATATGTAGCACATCTTTCTTCTATCAAAACATTTAATACAAATCTATTTTGCGTGATAGGATTAAAATTTTGTCTCACCGTCAACCTTAAATTGAAGATAATTATTTTTCAATAAAGTAACGATAATAATTAAACATGCTAATACGCATATATAAATGTTAATTAAATATCTTTAGTAAATATAAAGGCATGTACAAGATTGCTTGATACGTGTTGTAAAAAATTTATGAAAAACGTAAGGCACTGTCAACGTAATGTACACTCCTGCGGAGGCACGTGGGTCAACACAACTTACGTGGCTCAAAACGCACGCAGTGTCGGGGTCGCGGCGAGCCGACAAGGGTTCTGAGACGTCGAATGTAGAAGAGGTTGAATAGCGTAGTGGTGGGGGTATGGACCAACTAGAAATCTCGTTGGCGTGGGGATGTGTGAATGGTGGGGTGAGAGTCGAGGTAACAATCAACTTTAGAGCGATGTCGTACCTTGACCAATCTTAACGCAATTTGTTTTAAGCTATGTCAGCGACGACCTTAGAAATGACTCGCGATCATGCTGAAATCAAAATGGTAAATGGAAGAGAAAATGCAGCCTAAATCGTTTTCCTTTTTTTTGTCAACCAGCTTTCGTTTGTTTACAATCCTATAGGCAACATAGAAAGTCATTACAAATAGAGAACTAGTTTTAAATTCTTAAATTAGTACACTGAAAATATACGAAAACTGAATCAACCAAGATTCATTATGCACTGCACAAATATGTTTAGCTCAGTGCTTTTGGTAAGTATGTATATTGACTTGATTAAAGGTCAGTTATTCATTCTAATCGATGACTCGCAATGTTGTCATACGTACATAATATGTAACATGTTATTTTTCAACTAAATTATACTACTGTTACCTTTTAAACAATGTCAATAAAAATGAATTAGAAAGAAACATATTACGTTTTTTGCATAATTTAAAATCATTTATGAGAATTAATGAATTTTTTGCTCATCTGATATTATTCAATATGAGGACAATTTATTTAATGCAAGGTTATTTTAAAAAGTATATATTCGTATTAAACTGTATGCGCGTGTGTTTGTGAGAAAAAAAAAGAATGAAGAGACTAAAGGAGGTCAAATGAACATAAATGTGTTAAGTAGAAAGTGGAAAGTATTTCTAAGGTCAATAGCTTCATACCACGTGTAACAATGTATGCCGTCAACTGCAATACGCAGGTATTACATTTCAAGGTCGTATGGATATATACAAACATGACTTTGTTTAGCTTTTTCTTCCTCATTTATTTCTTTTCAACATTATATAATGGAAAAATCACGTGAATAGATGAAACTCATTGCAATACTGCAAAATATTAATTCGTATTAATATTAGTAAGCGAATTATAGAAAGTAATAAATAAAAAAGTCTCTCTTATTTAGTTAAAACTTTTTTAATACATAATACGTACTTACTGTTGCTTTTATACACATATGCTCTTATTTGTATTTTATTTTTTGTAAAAATGACATTATGTAAAAGAACTCATTAAAAAAATAAGGAAAAGAAAGACATTCTTATGTACTACAAATAATGAGTTACGTTTCATAAGATATTTTATATCATTGTCTATTGTATAAATAATTTTATTATGCATGTGTATATATAAATTAGTGATTCAATATTTTATAAAATAAAACGTTTAATACAATAATCGGTAAAAATGTAACAATCCAAAGTGTGTCTTATTTCAAATAAATCCTAAGAGGAAACATTGATAAAATTAAGATGGGGATGACATTTTCTACCGATTCAAGGCATGAAAAACCATTCAAAGTTCATTTCAATAATATTTTGACTTGAAAATTTTTAATAGTTAAAGACAAATATTTCTTGAAGAACGTTGTATTGTGTAAAAATGTTTTGAAAATATTTTATTAAATGAAATAATTGTAATTCGAATACTCGAATACATAATTTTGGTAAAGTATGGTAAAGGTACCAGTAGTTGACCAGTTAAGAGAACTCCTCCACAGGAACAATAGTAACCACTTGCTCTGTGATTAACTAGCGAGAGTCGATGCCTGAAAATACTCTTTAAGCCTTCTAGATTATGTAACAAGGCCAATTTTTTAAAAAAGTTATGTTATAAAAATTTTAAAAACATATTTAAAAATTCAGTAATTGCTTCAGAAGTTGACCACTCTTAAAAATGAAAACACTA